CATGAAACCCTTTTAGGTCTGCAGACATTGAAATCATTTGCCTCCTAACGCCTACTCGCTTAATAAGCTAGCATTTCAATTAAAGGTAATTTAATGCTCAAGTACAGGATGAGGTGGCACAGCTGCTGAAGTGCTTGTCTCTTTCACTTATAGGACACTAGCTTATATTCGAGTTCAATTACACTGAGTCCTCCCTAAAAAAGACCAATCAAGGGCATTCATAAGCACCATACATTGCCAAGGGCATGTTTGCTACAGACAGGAATGTTTTAAGCAGCTGCGATAGTTGAGAGGCCTTCATTAATTTGCAATACCTGAAATATTCCAGGAGAATTCACCTTTTCATATCAGCTTACAGAACATTATACTGTAAGCGGACCTCCTGTGTATACCTGACCACCTGGCTAATCTGCAGAAGGAATTAAACGAGATAAAGATGATGCAGGAACGTCTTGTTTGGATTTCCAGATTCGATTCAATTTTAACTGTGAGTACTGTATGGGTGCAGTTGGAGATGTTGCTGTTGTAGAACCATAGGAAATTTCACTTTGATTGACTGAAAAAATAACTTCCCTCTCCCCATTTCAAATGGAAGTTACAAGAAAAACAAAGAAATAAAACCCTGATAGTGTGAGCATGTTCTGGATGTTTACTTTTTACTGAGAAAAAGACAAGTAAGGAAGTCCTTGCTGGTTTTAAAAATCCTTTTCTTATGAAGGGTTTTAGAGATTTCCCATTTGGATAAGACACTATTGAAAGAAGGAAAGCAGAAGATGTATTCCTTTTTAAAATAAAGAGCAGATTTCAGGATTTTTCCCCATTTTTTGTTGTTGTTGTTTTAATTTCCTGGAGTTATAGCGAGTTATTCAAACAGAAGCTCTCCCGCCTGGTTTAGCTTTGACAGTGATCCGTTTGCATAACTGATTGGGCCTTAATCAAAAGTGAAACATCAATTTTCAATGTCTGGCCACCTAGAAAGAATCAACTAATGGAGAAGTGAAGTTTTAAGCGCTCATTTATTATAGACAAATACTGAAGTGATTTAAAAGAAGTATGACCTTCCTTGACTTCTCGTTACAAATACATAAATTCTGGCTTTCATCAAATAGAGCTTCTTAGAACACACAATATGGCTTGTTTTAGGTGTAAAAAAAGTTATTGAAATTATTAGACAATATAAACTGAGCACCTTAAAGATCATTATTATATTTGTTATTATATTTCACTATGGTGTTTTCTAAAAAAGGTATAGCTTGCCTTGCTGAGATTCAAAATAGCTCTTACAGATATCCTTGACATGACACTCTCAACAAACAACAGGAACATATTCTGTTAGTGACTAGAGTGGATTTGTATAACATTTCCAAACCCTTTTACCTCAGTCACAGCTGGTGACTTGCAGTCTTTTAGCTCAGTGTACATTTTGCAAGAGACTGCAATATTGTCTGATAATGCTACCCAAAACTCAGTGCAAACTGTATTTAGCTGAATTCAGTCCTAAGAGACAGCATGTGCCAAATCACACAGGACTGTTGTCAGGAAAGAAAGGAAAAAAAAACAACAACTCTTCTTGGCTTTTGGGATTCAACTTCAGCAACATATCCCCTTGTGGGTCATTCTGCTTGTTTATGGGACTCACAGAGGTGTTTTTCTCTGATATACTGCTATTGAAGTGTCAATTTCTGTCACATAAAAATGATGGAAAGCAATGTACTACGCCCATATATCTCTGTGGCAAGTGCCAGGACAAAATGTGGAGATAGTGAATTGCAGCCAACTCCTGTCAAGACCTGCTTATCAGCTTCAAGGTTTGTTGACCACATTAGACATAGACATGTCTAGACATGGGAACATAAAAACAACAGTGAAAACTGGCCCTGCAGCTTGGGTTTTCTGTTCCATTTGCAACTGTTTGCTGTAGCTAATCCATGATTGTTGAAGTGTTCTTCAGTGGCAGTGTCTTTTAAGTGAATGAACCACTGGTTGGATCAATGTATGCTAACACAAATGAAATGGAACTGCTGGAATCGCCTGCCCCCTACTTCGGCTCATCAACCCCTGCAGTATATCCTAATGTCATCTAGGCTCCCGACCTCCACAAATAAGCACCCCCTGACATCAAGCTTCAGCAGAGGTGGTTAACAGCAGGTAAAAAAATGCATAATTCCTTTTCCAAAAAACCTTCTAAAAATTCTTTATGTACTGTGGGAATATTGTTTCAGATGCCCCAATTTCTGTTTTTTTATGGACTTTGTTGTTCAAATACATAAAAAATGGCGACGTGGCTTACAAATGGTGGGTCCAATCCTTGGTTTCATTGAAAACAGACATGAGACGAAAACAGACAAAGCTTTTCCTTGAAGGAATGCAGCACACTGGAGTCAAAGTCGTGACCTGGCAAACTACTGGAAGCATTAACAATACTCTGTGCAAACAAGCTGTTTCCTTACATCTGTATTGCATCTTGACTAGTCCTACAACACTGTGGGACTGGACAGTGAAAAATCGACATCGCAACATGTCTTTTCAACTTCACAGGGAAAAGATAAAAACATCTAAAAATGGGTAACCACATATACACAAATGCAAACACACATCTACACCCCGTCACATAAATACAAAAACCAGAAACACAAGGACTTGACAATACTCTTAAGAATTGTACGGTATATACAGATACGTAGCCTACACACACTGACAGCATCCCTGTGTTACTCCACACACACACAAACTGATTTTTGTCTTCTTTTTTTAACTCCCATATGTGGATTATAGAAAGTACTTCACAAAAATTAGCTCAACTCTTTTCACCAAAGTCAATTTTTAACCTACCAAGCAACAGAGATTATGATAAATCCCTGGAAGCTACAAGAACTCAGAAAATGCTTTTTCACCTTACATGTACTACACCAAGGTCATTGACAATATCTGAGATTCGCCGAGAAAAAGAATACATTGTGAGCTATGCTGGAGAAGATAATTTTACAGGGAAAGCCAAGGGATTAACGGAGAGTGAAAAGTTAACTCTCTACAATCATACGCTCGCTTCAGTTCATTGCTAGACCACTCTTCCCTTTCCACTTGGTTAGGAGCCAGGATACGGGAGGTGATGAGAATCCAAAACGTAACACTGTATCCCAAACACTGTCAGGTTCCTTAATTTAAACAACCCAATCAAGTCAGAAAACATCAGTTTGTAATCTACCCTAACTGTATGATTTCAGACTACTGGCAGAGAGGTGCAATTAACTGGAGACATTCATCAGTGATGTCATGCATGGTATTTGTTTGTGAGAGTACATAAACATAACTATGTAAATCTGTGAGAATTACTCCTTATTCTTCCCATTCACCTTGCAGGAAACAGGGACATTGCCCCATGTATATGTAAAGTAAAGAGATGTTTTAAGACACACTCTTGTTTTTGACTTACCATTGACCATTTAATGATCATTAGAAATTCTTACAAGAAGCCTTTTCCTTAAAAAAATAACTTTTTTAGGAGTCTGTTTGGCCTGAGTGTCTCTCTATTATACACCTGTGACACCGTTTATATGACGAAGGGCTAGACAGCATTTATCCTGCAAATATGAACATTGAATGTTGAATTCACAGATAGAATAAGCCCAAAGTGATGTTTAATCCCCTTTACTGGGCTTAGTCACACCACTCACTTCTCAAATGGCTGCCAATTTATGCTTCTTCATTCTATTTTTTCTTGCTTTTTTAAGTCCACAGTCAGTAATATTCCATCTCGGCTTGAGGTCTGTTTATAATTGTGAAATGTGTACAATACAATTTGCATTTTCGTTTGCATTAAAATGCTAAGTGCACTGGAAATAGTTCTGACATTAAAACAACAATACAGTATACTGTACTTCTGCGCAACCTCCTTCATAGATGAAGTGAATAGATTCACAATGCTAATAAAATGTGTCAGAGTTGAGATTTTGACAGACATTTCACCTGAGCTAATTGGGAACTTTTGTTTCATGTTTATTTTGTTCAGACTGCATCAATGCGTTAAAATAAAGAAACCTTTATTCTTCTGTTTCATTACCATTTGTGTGATACATTTATATGGCTCACATATCAATCTTGCAAGGATTCTACCCACACATGAACACAACACTTACTGTACAAGGTAAATTATTGTCAGATTACATTTCCAACTATTTTTTAAAAAATACTGCAAAAAATAATTTATTGTTACTGCATGTCATACATTAAAGACTGTTATGCCTTATCTGCAAGATAACTGAAGCCTTACAGAGTTAACACAGATTGCATTTAAGGTGCTTAAATATAGCATGAAATAAACAGCATGCCTCAGTAATGTCCTATCAGTCTGAACATCTTTCTTGCTACAATTGTGCATGGCTGTGGGAGCAACTGCATACAGAAGACTGCCAACACAATCATAGTCAAAATTTTAAAGTAACACAATAGTAGCCAAATAACAACACTGTATATTTTCAAATTTTTGTTTGAACTTTTTATATCACTTTTAAAGTGATTTGCATACCTTGTTTGCGTTGGTGTTAGAAGGCTAAAAAACCTCATCCTAACACCACACAGGGTAAAATCCCAAAAATACTCGAGGAAAATTTCCCTCTAAACAAACTGTTACATAAATTGTTCCACTGTGCCATTTTTATTTTTCAGAAATTATCAACTTTTGTGGAAATGTCTTGATTGTTGGCTCTATCTATATTTCTCAAGGTTCTCACACCTGCGATATCTGACTCCTTTTTTACCGTTTTTTACTGAACCAAAACAAATTCTTGCGATCGAACATCGAGAGCGAATGAGGGGCAGTTTTCCTTCACAAGCACAACTGTATTTCTCCCATGCATCCCCCGTCTGACTCCTTCCCAGCTGTCTCAGTAAAATATTCCCTTAGAGCTTCACGAAAACACCAAACACCCCAGGTCTACGCAAGGTCTGTACATTAACATGGTGAGGCAAAGAAACAGGCAGTTTAACAAAATGAAACTTACCAGGGAATTGATAGCTGTAGCTCGGGGCAAATCCAGTGTATCCACGACCATACGTTGCAACAATGTTTGGGTAACCTTGAGGACGAGACAGAAACAGGTTTGATTAATTTGAGCCCAGCTCCTGACAGTGACCAAGCCATGCTGGCAGGGACTACATTTAAAAATTAGCTACAGTTTCTGAAGACCTTGCTTTTCATTTGATATCAATCAGCATTACTGGTACAGCTGCACTGTAGTCACAGACCCACAGGCAGATATTTAGCTCTTGGTAAGAAAGTCGAACTTGTTAACCACTGCATTTAATTTGTGATCAGTAACTTTATTTATATTACGTAGTATTTCTGTGTTTGTGCATGTAGGATATATTACGACAATGAAAGGTGTTCTGAATTCCAACTCTGATGTAGAAAATAAATGGAACGTGTTGTTTGGGAATTCACTCACAATCTGTTTTGGTTGCTATCTTTGCTGATGCAGAAACTTTTAATGATGATGACTTCAGATCTTTGCCTCAAATTGTATCTTCTACTGTTTATTTTGTACCAAACATACTACTGTGCAGAATTCAGTGAAGCAGATCCTTTTCACACAGGAAAATGAACAGATACTGTACTACACACAACTTGTACAGCTGCCAGATTAAGAGAGGGCAGTGCACCTCTTATGTATGCGTTTAAATCATTTAGATCTATCAAAGGAAAATATTAAAGCATAAACTGCCCATCTTAAAAAAAAAACACTTATGAAGATCATATTTTAACCATACTTGAAATCTTTAAAAAAAACATTTATGAAGATATACTTGAACATATTCATTACTAGATTGACACAATAGTTTTAAGTTTTGTTTTCCACAATGAAGGTAAGATTTAGTGAAAGTGATACTGTTGGAAGCTAAATTAACCACTTAAATGATCACTCTCAGAGCTGCTTTGGTAGCGTATACCTGAAGTGGTTTGCCTTTGCTGTCACACTGCTTTCTAAACATGGGCCCAGAAGTTAATTATCTGGACAGGTTTCAAACAGCAGCAGGCAGTGAGCATATTGAGTGTGTGTATGGGTGTGTGTGTCCAGAGGCCTTTGAAGGTTCTGGCATGAAGTTTTAAAATAATAATTAAAAAAAGGGGAACGTAAGCATCATTGAAGCTGAAGCAAAATAAAATAAAATACATAGATCTTTCTCTTTTTTATGCATTAAGAACGCCCAAAAGCTGTAGTGTTCTTTTCAAAGGCTTTGAGCTTTATGATGTAGTGCAGCATGTCCACAGTGGCAGCTGTATTGTCTAATTACCACTTAACTAGTTGTTAGCCCCACAACCAAGCTTCATATAGAATAAACAACCTTTTAACATGAATAACATATAACATATACTGCATGGAGAAATCAAATTTTTGGAACAGAAAACAAAAAGTGCTGTTTTACACTTAAAAAGTAACCTTGCATAAGCCAAAATTGACTTCCTTGAAAAAACTTTCTTGCCTTTAAATGGTTTTGACCTTCATGCTCAATGTAATAAGAGTTTTTCATTCGTACTCTTATCCAGACATTTTGGTATTTCCTTTTCACTAGCATAACTGGTAAACCTAACACTTCATTACAGAAGATGTGATACAACTTTGAATTATTTCAGCACTCAGGCAAAAACTATTCCTGTAACAAAAATTGTAGCATTATGTTGTGTTTCATGCTCAAGCCAGTCCCATTACAAGTAGTTCTGCTCTTTTGGAAAACTATAAATAACGCCAGCATATTTTGAATCTATTTACGCATTTATGTTTTTTTAGAACTTTTATCATTGGATCATTCATGATTGACTGTGATACACTAGAGTGGCTTTGCAACTTAAACACTTAATTAGAGAGAGTTGACTGAACACAGGTGATGAGATGAGACAGGTGATGAATGTCAAGCCTGGTAAATGTTGAGAAAGAACAAACTAGGAATGATGTGTTTATCAAGAGAACAACTTCATACTATCAAGATGCAAAGAATCAAGGTTTTGTGCAGAACACCCTCGTGGACATCAGTGAGTATTGTGAGTATAAAGTGCTGAATGATAATGCTAATCGTTTTGTACAACAGAACAATCAATGGGGAAGTCCAGTGTGATAGTATGGGCAGTAGCGTATAGTCACCACAGAACTCTATTTGTAGTGATTGATGGCAACCCGGCTGCAAGGTACTAGATTCATCACATACTGGAACCCCATTTTCGTCCCATCCTGTAGGCTTATCCTAATGGGATTCCAGCAGGACAAAGCACAGCACCATACTGTTCATTTAACAATGCTGCAGCATCCTGTGGAAGCCACCATTCAAAAAAGATCTGGGGATATTGGGATCAGAGACCAGTGAACAGGCACATACATGCTTGTACAGGCTCTATGAGAGAAATGGGACAGGATCCAAGAAGATAGCATCTGCAACCTGGCGTAATGCACGAGTTGCAGATATACAGCCTGGTATTGCTTCCAGCAGTGGAGACACATGCTACTAGCCTGTCATTTTCATTGTAGACTCCCTGTTGATCAATCCTGTTGACGACAAATGTTAATCAGCATAATGAATTTACTTATGTCGTGTCTTTTCAATAAAGTGTCAGTTCATCTACAAAAAAGATTGTCATTTTCCTGATAACTTTATGAATTTGTTGCAGCTATAAGAGATACATTTCCTTTGATGTTTAGTATACTTGGGAAATTAAACAGGGATAAAACGGAAAGATTCTGAACCTTCTATCCAGACAGTACTGTGGTGTTTTTGTAAAGGAAAAAACAAAAATGACATCTCACAGGGGCCTTCTGCTGATGCATATTAACAAAACTCCTACAGGCGGGGGTATGGGAATGGCTTCAGGTCGGTGCTCAGCTGGGGGACTGTACAGTTGCAACAGTGCTGCGATTCCAGCTTAAACTTGAAATGTTACTCCTGGTAATAAATGTCAAATCACAGTTTGCTACCCATGAGAAACTTCAATTTAATCCTTAAAAGCTGAAAAGCTGCCTTTTACTCCCAGATACAATGGTACTGCAGAGGTGTTTGGGTGGCAATATATTACTTAAACGAGACCCTGCTACTCAGTTTGTGAGCCTTGTGGAACGTGGGCCTCACTGAAAAATAGAAATGTTTATTTATGGGCCCCGGTAAATTTGGGCACTACTCAAGGGCTGCTGTATAAAGAAAGCACCAGAGTTTTCAAATGGAAATTGTTACATCGGGTGAAAATGGGTTTCCCCTCAAAGTCAGTAGTGACCAAACTGAACTGATGTCCTTTCATTGAACTCAATGCATTTTTAAGCAGCCACATATAATTTAAACTATGAATTTCAAAATCATTTTTGCAATAAATAGTTCTGCCTGTCTCATAAAATTTACTGTTATATATTTCAAAATTTTCAAAAACAAGTTTTTGCTTCACTGCACCCATTGGGAGGGGTGAAACTCCATAACTTTGTTGCCCCTCTTCCTTGACTAGTTACAGTGCATTGAGCAACATAACCCTTTGTACCTTTTTAGCAAGAAGAGTAAATGCCAGATTCTCATGCTAAATATACATGACATAGGGTTTTCCTTTGACATTTAAAGAGCTTACGATGAATGTACTTTGGTTCGGTACTATTGACAGTGGGGGATTAACACACTTCTATGCCAGCACCTCAGGGTACCATGGGACAACTATGGATCGTCAGCAGCATAAAGAACAGCATCCTGCCTGCAGCCCGGGGCCAGGAAGACATCAGTCACAGTATCACTGACTGCACACATTGCCACAGCCCAGCCACCCCCTCCTTCGCTGCACCAAACTCTAAATAAATACATGCTTCACACACATTATTATGGTAAATATGTCATGCATATAAATATCACATGCGTAACCTTGGGGCTTTTGGTCTCCAGAAATGTATGTACGAATGATATGGGTTAAGCAGATAAAATGGATTTAAAACTGACAGCTTTTCCTGAAGCAGTTGCTTCACTGTGTACTTTTATCCCAGCAGTTAACCAGGCAAGAACAAAATCTATTGGTACTTACACTTTTAATAGCAGAGCTAAGCATCTGGTCCAACCTGAAGTCCTACCATGATGAAGAGAGGGAAACCATGAGGCGCCAGTGCTGCTTCCTAGTCATGGTTTCTCCCAGTATTACTGTAAACAAAGTCTGTCATTTCATCTATGCTGCTTCCTCACTCTCTTATTTGTGTTATTAATATGCATGCTAATGCACCTATTTTATGGCTCAACAGTTCAGATTCACTTTAAAATCAATTATCCATCTGGTAAACCCATATTTCGCACAGACTTAAATGTGTATTAATTTCAGCAAACATACATGCGGCATAACACAATAAAGATAAATGGCCTGATTACGTGCAATAAACAATGGAAGAGAGAAGCGTTTTTAATGAGATTTGGCAAATAAGAAATCACAGTTCCTTAAATAATGAGTCTTGTTGATTTTTTATGCAAATTTTTAAAAGAAGATGTTTCGCTATCCTGCTTTTCCAATTTCATTTAGATAAGAGTGCCTCTAAATAACGATGCATTTAATATGCTAACCCTTAATCCACTCCAGTGACTCCTCAACTTTAAACTTCTCTGACTTTCATCATGGCTTTGATCCAGATATCTATTAATAAGATTATAACTATTCTGAAATCTAAATTTAGTCTCAATCACAACTGTTAGAATAAAACGCAATAATTAAAAAAACAAACTTATTCGTTTTAGGTTAGTGGTTTTGACCCGATGGGCTAAGCTGTTATAATTAGTTTGGGAGGTTAAGGGGGACTTGATAAAGATGAAATACACTAACGGGCAGACCCCTAAATGAAGCCAGTGATATCCATATCCCATTATTCAGCACACTTGAGGTCAGGCAGATGAAATCATAAATTTATAATATAACATTACTTCAATTTTCCTCTTCATTTAGCTCTGTAATGCATAGCTGTGCTCCGGTGAATTTAGGGCTGGGATTCGCGCAGTGGCAATGGGGCTGGCTGAATATCAATAGCATATTTCACGCAAGCCCTGCGAGGATGCTTCATCAAGCCAAATTACAGGCGGGACGACCTATCCTGCAGCTTCCATTAGCCGCCATTCGGATTCCGCACCCAGCATCAAACGATTTATTTGCTTCAGTTACTTTCAGCAGACGATCAATCTCAGAGTAATTATCTCTTGTCACTAAAGCAGAGACGAGGATCGGGGAAAAACACCCTCTGCGGCTGTGTGCCTGTCTTGTTCTTGTCAAATCTACAGAAAACTGCACTGTCAAAACAAGTTTAGCACCTCTGAGTGGAGCATGGAGATGGAGCCATGGTCCTGTGATCATGGCCTCTTCCGCTCCAGTGTCTTACTGCCAGAGGTGCAGAGCAGACATACAGTAAGCACTGCGAACCAGGTCTGGCTTTAAATGATTCACTGGCATTAATGCCAGTGGAAGTGCACCAAACCAAACTGGCAGTGCACCAGTGGAGTTCCTTATTGCCCTGTTAGCAATATACAGGAAATGGTTCTTCCAGTAATCCTGGCTTACATGTTTAACTAAGGAAATGATAATTCACTCACCGTGAGCTGGTAGTCTTTTAAGAAAGTACCAAAGGTCTGAAAAACTTTAGTTTAGTGAACCTGGTGCCTTTGGCTCTGTAATTGAACTGTTGATACACTAATAAAGCTTGTTAACTGTTCTTCAAAACAAGTCCAGAACCCTTAACTTCAGAGATAATGCTAATGCCTACTTTGCAATTCACATCAAATGCTTTTAAACGTCATCAGGAAAGAAAATGAATTTTCATGAAAAAAAAAGAAACAAATACATAAATGGCCCAGCTAGTACAAGCACCTGCCACAGGAGTGACCCAGTGCTTGTCTTGTATTATACAGTATGTGTATGTGCGATGTGCTTGGCAGCCTTGCACACTTACTCAGCATGCCCATTCCCAGCATAAAGGCGTCCATGGTGTAGGGCAGCCCCCGGGCTCGACCCCTCGTGCCGGGCGGAAACATCACCTCCTTCGGCTGGGCCTTCTTACATTCTACCTGTGGGCAAAGCAAGGGAAACAGGACATAGGGATGAGCCGCAAACTAATGGTAACAACAATGATGGCCATTTCACATACAGTATACAGTACAGCACTTTCCAAAAAGCAAGATCCCAAAGAGCTTTAGAATTTGGAATTAGATACAAATCAATTTTATGTTCTGATAAATGGAAATATCACACAATAATATCAATAAAAATAATTATGATAATGGAATGCCCCCTTCCCAAATTAACCTCCTGTAAAATATGAGGGGTTCTCGCTTTTTATCACAGTTACTCCCTGTCACAACAATAAAGTTTTGCTTAAAGAACACTGTTCAAATCCATTCCCTTCCCCCAGCATTTCTATTTCCAGAAATTCTGCTTTAGCATTCCCAAATCTCTGTCTCAAAGGTCTTTTTCCATTATTGAGATCATCGTAATTCTCAGTGTCTGCTGTGAACTCAAATGGGTTTTGGCCTGTTAACATAGTGATATCTGATATAGTGTCATTAGTATTTTATCAGGTAAAACCATTTTTCTATAAGCTAAAGGAATGAATGGAAATATTAAACAGTATAATTCTCCAAAAAGTGGAAGTAATAGTATTGTTTTTTTAAATTCAATCTAAACTCCCGTTTCTCAAGATATTTTCATGCTTTTCGTTTGCTGAGGCACGCAGCTTCGAATCTTCAAGCAAAGGCCGTTAAATTCTCAGTTCCCATCTACTCCAGGCTTGTACCCATCAAGCCCATTTCCTCCTGCAGTTGTTTTCGCTGTGTGTGTCTCCAGCATTAGCTGTTGATTTCCCACTGCTTTGATTAACATATTAGACTCCCACACGATGTATATTTAAGCAGGACTCATAACAAGAGCCAGATCTGACTGAAGAAATACATACACACATCTAATACTGCACATATACATATTTAAAAAGCATGTATTTTATCACGAATGCCATTTAAACATAGTATGTATGTATTACACAGTACAGGTATATCGTGCTTGTGATTTCTGTAAGGCTCCTTGAAACTTTTAAGGGCACATGTATGTTTATTTTGCTTCTTCAAAGATTATTAGGATTGAAAAAGGTTGGAAGTCATAACCCAAAATGGCCAGAAAGAACTTTCTCTCCTTTCGTTCTTGGAAGATCCGAGCAATTTAAAAGAAACCTACAGTACAGAATTAACCTCTGCTTTACAACAATGTATGTATAGATGGCAAATACAGAATATATGCACCTTACAGACATGCAGTGTACACAACAACATACAGGCACACCTTCTCACACTTGACAAGAATCTCAACCAGCTCAAAGGAGTAGCTGTGGGATTCTACGTGTGTTAAGTGGAAAACAATTCTGACTGCGCGAGTCAGGCAGCAAGAAATAACATCCCACCCTGACAGGCTGACAGGAGGGTAGTCTTCATCTCTGTACGCAACAAGCCATCTCCTGCAGCATTATATGTAACGCACAGCTTCCCAGTGTTGCAAGCGCTTTATAAAATATACAGAAGGATTTCAAGAGCTGACAAAAACACCTTGTCTGTGTGTCTATCTAGCACTTTGTACACTGTGTCTGTTCACTAAGTTGCAGAATCTGTCTACCAGACCCCTTGCACCGAGAGGCGCCTGTCCATCTGTGCATCTGTCATCCTCATGTGTTTATACATAGCCTCCCTCAGGTTATAGCAGGATATGCTCTCGTGTCACTCTGTGGAAACCCAAGCTATATGCACATTAACCCTGGCACTTTAATTTTCAATGTAAAGCCACACAATCATATATTACATAAAAATGGTGTAAGGTTTTAATTTTTAACCAAAAGATCACTTGTATCATAATAACTAAGGACTATTTTTTTTATTCATGAGCTAATGACCATTGAGAGCGAACAGTAATCCAGGGCGTCATTAGCAGGCCGTTAAGAGGTGCGACTCACATTATACATTATTACTTAAGTAATTACATGAATGGTGCAGATTTTCTGTTGATGAGGTCCTTCAGTTCTTAATGAAAATATGAAGGGGGATTGTTAATGGCCTGGGGGTGAGGGCTGTGCAGTCATCAGGGTAACAAGGAGAGGGGACGGGGGGGCTGTAAACAGTCTTTAAAGAGATGGTTTCGTCACAATGCACAATTGGCTGTGGAGTCTCTGGCAGAGTGCTGCAGTACAGGGGAAGGCCCTATGGCCAAGACTGGCTCCAGCACTCTGGACATTCATCTGCACTGAGAGCAGCAGCAAGACGATAGGCAATTCATGCCTCTCCTCCCCATGGCATAATAATTGGATTTGCAAAGCAGCCTGAAAAAGCATAATTACAAAAAGAAAAAAAAACCCGCTTTGAACTACTGCACTACTTGGCAATCCTTGAAAAAATCATGAAAAATATACATACAAGGAAAGCACTAAAATAAGCAATACATTGCATGTAGAATGAAAATGAAAGAAGACTCTGTTAAACCAGCATCATCAGAGGACACAGGAAGATCAGCTGCCAACTCTGATCTGACCCCACTCCAAAAGCCTACTCTGTTCACATCAGGTATAGTGCAGAAAGCACTATATGCATGCAGACCTTATTTAAATCTAAAAACTAACTTTGCCTCTGGGACCAAAAGCAACAGCCCTATTATTACCCTCTCGCCTCCCAGCAGTGGCGCTCCCTGTCTTGTCTGTGTCTGCTGTCTGGTAATGTGAAAGGGACACTGCTGTGCAGCCCTCGGCAGTGGCCATTCCCATGCAGGCAGCCACAGCCATGCCTTTCTCCTACAGGACGGTAATGAGAGCAGTCAAGGCAGGAGACGCAGATTAAACAGACTAATCACCACTTTTTTTAAACAGCTTTTGCTTCTGACCTTTCTGCTGCATCGCAGGTGCCACTGGTGTGTTTTTTTTGTATTGTTTCTGATGTTGAGTTTTTTCCCCAGGAAAGCAACAATTTTCAGTTTTCAATAATTTTCCAATTTAGGAAATGTGAGGTTAAATGCCTGAGACAGTGAGGCCGTGGGCAGCAGTGCCTTGTGATTACTACCTGCCTAATTGGAAGCAAATTACCCCATGTGTTTCAGACAGGTAGGAGCAAATGTCCCCATCAAATGTTCATGCAAGCCATAGTGCTAAACACTTGGAGAATTAACTAATATGAATGGATTTTCACAACCTTTTAACCCTTTTTCATGGTCTCATAAATGACCATTTCGGTAACTGTTTCCTATTCTGGAACATCTTTAGCAAAGGTTTTAAAAATAATCTCACTAATCTGCAGTGACTGGGTTAAGGTTAGCCTGAACCATGAATGAAAAGTGTGATGAACTTAGTTAAGACCTGTTAGCAGTCTTAAGTCTGCAATTCTATTTGAATGAAACTTAATTTATCACTATTAACTCAACTTCTTTGTAAATTCTGACGTGCGCCTTGGTCAGTTTCTTTCAACAGGCGCACACACACAACTCTTACACTGAATCTCCTCAATCTTTCTCATTCATCATTTAATTAACCCCTTAGTCTGGAATTCATTAATCACAGAGTATGGTTAATGAGGTGGTCGTTAAATGAGTACTGAAAATCAGTTACTGATTTTTGAAAAATCTGATCAAGCCATTTGCTCTTTCTCTCTTATAATGAACATCAATGAACAACTTTGTCCTTTTTATCTTCAAGCAGATGTTCAGCTTGTTGTCAGATAGTGCCACTGCCAGTGACAGTAAAGAAGACTGTGGATTCTTTTCATTCTGAGCCTGGATTTATTTTAAAATTGATTCCAGAATGCAAAAAATAAAAATGCAGAATGAGTCATTTTTGAATGCATGAATCAAACACCAGGGTACATGAAAGGCACTTAAACAAACAAAGTAACCCACAAATAGACAAATGTTCCACTGTTCAGCAGAGATTGTCACAATGACTGAGTTAATATTCCTTGCAGAACACACATATCAAAAGGCCTGTCTCGAAATCAGTGTTATTTTCAATCCCAGCAGAAAGACAGACCATTTATTAAGGTAGACAAGAGAAAATCTACAGAAAAAAGAAATCAGGTCTGACCGTCTGGAAATATACAGGAAGCAGATAGTGCCCCCTGGCTTAGAACAGCATGCATGAAACACAGGGGGTCTGTACTGATTGGCTCCACACTTATTGGTCCACAGGTTTCCAATCGAGCTGGAATATGGCAGGCAATGCCACCATCACACCCTGGAATCAGACCTGATTGCTTGACTGGCAAGGAGGATAAACCCAGTGTAGTATCATTAGTCATGTCTGGTCAGTTACACTGTGTTGCCATTTTTACAGCTACAGCTATAGAGGTTACTTGATCTGTGCAGAAATATTAGCCTCCCCCTTTCCCATTAAAAGAAAAAAAATATTGTTTGAAGTCTTTCCCCTCATTTTCTTTCCTTAATTTGTAATCTACTCTTTAGACTCTGCCTGTGACCACTGTTGTTGGACATATGGACTGATAACAGATTTGTTTCCTGTGTTATAGTCTTAAGACCATTGTCCTAACTAGTGGGGTGTTGGGGGTGAGGCTTCCCTGTTTGTGTCATTGTAGAAGAGGTCGGTGAGGTGGAATACGTTCTGTGGCTGCCTTGGCCAAAAGCCAATATAGACTACCTCTGTAAGTCTCTGGCAAAGATCTGCAACTCTGAACAGAATTATCACCAAAACAGGAGAGTGCATCCTCACTTTAGAGCAGGAAAGGAGGAGAGTGTTATTTTTTGTTATGTAGTCACTGAAATGTTATTCTAGAGTGCATGCAGCTCTGAAGAACAAAGTCATGGACAAGAGCCAGCAATGGACAACCTTTGCAGACCAAAAGATATGCAACCCCTTTCTTTTCAAAAGCATGATCAGAGGAACTGTGATTCATATTAAACTCCAGTTCAATACACATGCATACAATGTTTACATCTTCTGGTTCTCTTTTTTTTAAGCAGAATAACATCTTGCCACAAATTCCTCACTGTAAACAGCAACCTGTGGCATGAAAGTCAAGTTTTGTACAGTATTTTG